CTGCAACCTGCCCCTTTCCCCGCTGCAACCTGCCGCTTCCCTGCTGCAACCTGCCCCTTCCCTGCTGCAACCTGCCCCTTTCCCCGCTGCAAGCTGCCCCTTCCCTGCTGCAGCCTTGCTGCGAGCCGCCCGTGCCGCGAGTTTGCACGTGCTCGGCCGCGGCGCTGCCGCACGTGTGCTCCTCAGCTGTGCAAATTGCCGGCGCGCGGAGCCGTTCCGAGCGTTTGGGCTAAGCACGAGGAGGGTTTCGGGAGCCCTAGCGAGGCGCCGCGCGGCTCCCAGGCGGCTGCGGCGGCCGCATCCCGCGTCGCCCATGGAGGGGTTGGCCACACCGTGCCGTGGGGGGCACGCGGCACCCCATGGCACCGTACTGCCAATTACCGGGTAATTATAGCGAGCCGTAGCCAGAGCAGGGCCCTGCAAAGATTAATTACTCGGCGGCTGACACTTTTAAGTGTCTATTAAGAGACATTAGCCATGGAGAGCGGTGTGTGGAGGGGTAAGGGCTCTGCCACCCGTCCCCACCAGCCACGTCATGGCCACAAAGGGTTAACTGCCCCCCTGCCCAGCCCCACTAGAATTATTTTTTAATAGGATCCATTTATTAGCACATAAAAGTTAATGAGTTTATACCGCCACAAGCTCTCGGAGGCTCTAACAGCAGCTGAGCGCTGCGTCCTGCCTGGCGGCACCAAGCCAGGCCTGGTGCCCACCCCTTGGGCCGGGCAGGGGACATTTGGGGTTTCGGGGGTGCTCAGAATGCCAGGTGGTGCTTCGGGTGCAGGGCAGGGGGTGCTGCCACACGTGCCCCCCTCGGAGCCATCGGGATTAATGCCTGTGCCCCAGCACATCCCCGTGCTGCTCCTAAGCAGCTTATCCTCCGCCGCAGTGCCACCAACGTCCCGCGGTCCCCAAGGTCACCCGGTGCTCCTGCCAGCCCTGCGCCAACGCGGACCCCGCAAGGGTTGGGGGGTGGCAGAGCCCTTGGCAAAGCAGCAGACAGGTTGGGGCTCCCGCACGTCCGTGTCACGGTGCCCTGTCACACCGGCCCCGCGCGGCTCCTAATCCCTCCCCGCATCCTTCCCGCGCTCCAGTCTATTAATGGTGGAGCGGCTGGAGACTAATCCGCACGCGCCGGGCCGCGCGGCCCCCCCGGCACGGATCAATCGCCACCGCTGTCGCAAATAAATAAATAAGCGCGCGCGGCCGCCTGGGAAGCGCCGGGTCGATACGGGCCACAAATAAAGCAGTAACGCGGCGCCGCGCAAAGCGGCCCGGACAGCGGCCGGCGCGGCGGGGCCCGCTCGCCGCGCGCGGGGCCCGTGTGCTGCCAGGAGCCGAGGTTTATTTTCCAATTTGGAAATGCAATCTGGCTCTGGCCCCGGCGGGCGGCAGCCCTGACGAATGAGCTGTCACCGGGCGCTTGTCCTGCTGCGGTGCCCTGCTCCGGGTGCATGGGGGGCACTGGGGATGGGGCCACCACCACCCCCCAACCAAACTGGTCCAGGTCCCATGGGAGCGAGTAGAGCAGGGTGCGGGGCATCGGGGAGAATATGGGGTGGGTAGACTCAGGTAGGTGGGTTCAAGCACCAAGGGGGTGCAGTGGTGGGTGGATGGGTGCAGAGAGGGCTGGGTGGGTGCAAAGGCTGCAGGCAGGAGGCCCAAGGATGCATGCAGGGATGGATGGGTGCAGGAAGGGCTGGGTGGGTGCAAGGACTGTAGGCAGGAG